TACAACCAACTCAACTTTTCTGTCATGCACTGGGGCATGAATAATTAATTAGGCTGATTTTTTTTCCAGCTGTATTTACAGCATTTGTGTTGTTGTTTAGTAACTTGCCATTTTGTGACATCTGGATTCATTTTCTACTCAAAATGACACATTCGTACTCATAAACGGTCTATCGAATGTTACCGTCATTGTATAAAGTGTAGCAGTGTTGGGTAAGTTACTCTAAAAAAGTAATTAATTCCTAGTTACTAATTACCTCTTCAACAGTGTAATTAGATTGCTGCACTAATTACTCTCTCTAAAAAGTATTTAATTACTTTTATACTAATTACTTTTGAAATCTGTAAATTTGAAATAATTCTTTCAAATAAATACTATAAAATTGCATGAATTATCCTTAAACTGACCAAGGTGGAGAAGGTTACATTATAAAAACATACTTTTTAGCATCAGACAATACATTTTGATGTTAAACCAACTATTGTTTTATGTCTGATCTCATGACATTTTACACTTTTTTCATACATATTTTACAATAATTCATACGAATTTGTACGAGTGCGGTCGTAATATTTAGACGCCTCATACGAATCGCTGTGAGATCGGATTGATCTACAGTATTTACCTCAATTACATCAGAAGTAACTGTAATTAAATTACAGGTAAATGAAGATTAATCCCTTACTTTACATTTTCAAGGGAAAAGTAATTAAATTACAGTAACTAATTACTTAGTTACAACCAACACTGATGTGTACCAAGTATTTAATTCAGTGTTATATTGTTCAAATAAAAAAGTTAACAATGTTAAATTTACTAAACTTAGTTAAGTAGATGTTACTCAATTCTCTATATGACATATATAAGTTAAGTATAAAATATAAAGTATTAAATATAATTAAGTAATTTTTACTTAAATACTTCAATTAAATGTCAAATGAGTGTGCAGTCCAATAGTAATCAGATTTTACTCGATAATAACCGGTAAGTTGTACAGAGCAGTGAAATTTACTGAACATGTTTTAATAAAGATTTTATTAAGTATTTCTTCTGTGAAGCTTATGTTATGTTTTGCACTTTTTTTCTGACGGTGTAAGTCACTTTGGATGAACAAGATCTGAAACACAATACTGATGTCATTAATCTTTACCGCGCTCACGCCACGACTTCAGGCTCTTTAAGATGAGCGCATCGAACTGTGACTCACCGGCACACATGAAGACTGTGTGTGTGTGTGTGTGTGTGTTTTCCCCTTCAGAAAGAAACATCTGCATCTCTGAATGAACACACAATTTGGAATTTACCATGTAACTATATGGATATGGAAATCATAGATAGTAATGCCATGTTTTTAGACCTTTTGAAGGATAATCTAAATATAAACTCTCTATATAATATAAGAATATAATAAAATATAATAAAAACTCTAAATATAGCCAATGCACCATGGTATTTCTGAAGTAGCTTGGAATAATATTTAAATATAGTTGCACATGTGTGTTTGATACCTTGTCTAAGTTCATATACTATGATATTCTCTATTATATTTGGTCTGTCTGGCCGCTCAGACACTTTGGACACTGTACCGGTAATCTTTGTAATACTCTGGAGTGACATGTAAAAAGTACAATATGTATACGGTAATTATTCAGTGCCACAAGTTACTGTACTTTGGTATACTCTAAAGAACATTATATTTATTAATGCATCATGTTTGTTTTAAATATATACTATGTTTTTTTTAAGTAGTTTTGGAGTACTATCTAAATATAACTGCTTTTGTCGGCTTAGCTATTATTATTAGTACTATATCAAAGTTCATATACCATGGTATTTGTAAGTACTGTGATATATTCGTTTATATCTTGATATAGTAAATATAACAGCATATGTGTATTTGTAAAAATATAATACCATGTTTTTTTATGTAACATGACACAATTGTTTTTTTAAATACTTTGGGGGTAAATACTCTAAATAAATGTACCGTTTTATTTTTGTGTATCATTATATATACCATAGTATAATTTGGAGGACTATATGTAAATGTAATTCCATGTATATGGTATTAATTAGTACAATATCAAAGTTCAAGTATTCCTACTGCGATATTTGGTCATGTCTACTCTGTTGATCACTATTTTTGGACACTACTATGAAAAAAGCATGTGTTTTTGGACATGTACCATGGTAATATTGGAATTAATTGAAGTATCCTGAAGTAAATACTCTAAACTATACAATATAATGCTCGTATACTATACATCTTAACCCAACTTTGGGTAAAATATGGACAAATCCAAAGATTGGGTTAACCCAATGGCTGGGTTTGTCCATATTCGCTAAAAGTTGGGTTAAGCCAACCCAGCAAGTATTAGAGTATACGTAAATATTACGTATATTTGGTAATGGTAATCCCATGATTTTTTCCCCCATGTACCATTATAATACTGGAATATTTTGAAGTACTTTGCAGGAAATACTCTCTCTAAATAACATAAATTATTTATTTTTTGACTACTGTTTTATGGTATTTTTTTAAATAGCTTGAAGTAGGCTACTATGTAAGCTAATTGGCATATTCTGCTATACACTCTTAAAAAAATGCTGGGTTGTTTTAACCCAATTTTTGGTCAAATATGGACAAACCCAGCCATTGGGGTAAATTTTTTTAACCCAATGTTTGAGTTTGTCCATATTTGACCCAAAATTGGGTTAAAACAACCCAGCATTTTTATTTTGTAGGCTACCATAGGCTATCAAAGAGCATTTTGATTTGGTCAGGTCTATATGTTGATCACTATGTATAAAGGCAAGCACGTGTATTCAGACATGCACTGATCTCATGACAGTCTTTAACTGGATCCAATATGATCATAATGATTGTGTGCATCAAGACCATGGTGTATTACCACAGTACTACTGAACGCGCGCACTCACCTGTCTGTAATGTGTAGGACAGCCTGGTTTCGTTCAGGTACGGTGTGTCGCTCTTGGATCGGGCTCTTCTGATGGGCCGCCGGTCCACATCGTCCTGCTCGGGTGCCGTCGCCATCAGAGCCGCGGGACCCCCGGTGAAGCCCCGGTAACGGTAGAGACGGCGGGAGAGCGCGAGCAGGGGGAGGGATGGAGACTCCTCCTCGCTCCGTTAACCGATCAACCGACACGAGACACAAGCGCACGGACCGTCAATCGCATCCCGCCCTGATGCAGCACACGGGCGAACGGAAACATCCAAATCCTGCTGCCGTATAACGTTTCTAACCGGGATGACGTGGTCCGCACGGAGAATCTGCACAGATGCGGCGGAGAGCGGATTTTCCGCGTGCGCGTCCCTCATACACGCGTTACACACGCCAATGACACATGCATGTAGATGTAGTATAAACACCGGGAAAACGGCGCCGATCTCCGTGCAGCTGTGACATCATCAGTGCCGATCAATGATCCGGAGCACTTAAACTGTCCACGGTCTACATTCTGAAGGATACGATAGAAATGCACACGATTGTACCAAGCGAACTGAAATAAAAATGGAGAAGTCGTGTAACAGGGTCTGGAATAACAGGGTGGCTACTGGACATCAGCAAAACATGTAGAAAATCAAACTCAGTTTTCAAGTAATCATAATACGGTGGTTAAAAACATTTGAAAACATGGTTTTGGTCAAGATCGGGTAAATAAATGTATCCATTTATTAAAACAAAATCAATGAAATTGTATATCAGAAATGTCCACCCAGTTAGAGACCAATGAACAACAGTTTAACACTACGTATAATTCAAATTCAGATACATTTTCTTAGATAACGCATGCCCCTTTGTCCTTTTAAAAACATATTAGTTAATAAATTATCAGAAAATGTACAGAATATATTAGGCTAACTATATATATGAAGAGTTCAGATGCAAAAGCCTCTAAATGCCATTTGAAATTTTCTTCTTTAATGATGATTTTTATCAAACTTGTATATTTAAGTTCAGTGATTTCACTTAAATAACAATTAATAGGTAATCTTCATTGCCATTTAAGTGAAATTACTGAACTTAAATGTACAAGTTTGATAAAAATGATCATTAAAGAAGAAAATTTTAAATGGCACTTAGAGGCTTTTGCATCTGAACTCTTCATATATATATATATACATGCTTCATTTAACATTTTTTATTTTCAGATACAAATTCCTAAAAGGCATTTTTGTTAACTTTTTAAAGTTCTACATTATTGATAGATTTTCATAGTCACTGAATTATTCATATTTTTTGGTATTTTCAATAAATTATTGTAAGAAAAAAACTGCTTCACAGGATGGACAAAATAAAAACAAAGTGTAGTATTAAGTATTAACAGTGTAGTCATATTAGTATTGTTTTAAAGTGTGTTGAATAAATATAATTATTATATAAGTATTAACAGTGTAGCAAGTATTCATATATATTTTATTTCATTCTTTTGAAAAAAAAAAAAAGAAATGAAAAGGAGCAGAAAGGAGATAAACTTATAATATCTGCCCCTTATTAACATAAATCAAATTACAATTCCAAAGAGGTACACAACACACATTTACTTTGCAGCACCAAAGTCATAAATCAAATAACACATTTTCCTACTAAATAGATGCAATATATTTTTCTATTAGTAATGCTTTTACACTCTTCTTAAAAACAAAAAATGAGTTAGGGTTAGGGTTAAGTAATAACAGGATGGAATAATGTTAATTGAATTAGACTGATTTGTGTGATTTGATCAAACTAACACCATAAATATCCCAGAATGTTTGTGCTGCTATTTTATAATAATATGATGATAAAAAAAAAAAAACACATGAAAATGTGCTGCATAATACGAATTACCTGCGTAGTTTCATCAGTAGGCCTTTATGAATTTGTCAGGCATGTGATTGGCTAAGGACAAAAAAGCAGGAAAATATACAGAGTTTTTTTTACAGATCTGCATGATTCACGTAGGTCACATTTTCAGGTTGGAAAATCCGGAATTCTGGATTAATCCGGAAAAATCACATCCCTGATTTGTGCATTACACTTATTTAAGTACTCTGTTGTGATGCACTGAATGTAATTTTACAGTGTTCCTTGAGGAACTGAAAGTGAAAACATCGAAGGCGACGGAGAGCCTCCTCCAGTTCGTCTGATGGCATCAGCACACACAACCTAAAACACACACAGCGACAGGGTGTTGAGTGTATGTGTGTGTGTAGACTGCATGTCTAAAAAGGTCACTGTACTTGAAATGGCTGCAGCTCCGTGAGTGTTTGTGATCTTCATTGATCCCGACACACACACCCTGATCCTCCAACAACCTCCTGCTGTAAAACGAGCCTAAAGACTGCACACACACACACACACACACATTCCAAACTTGTATCACATTCTGTCTTCTAAAGAACACAAAGAAGATATTAAGCAGAATGTGCAAGCTGCTCTCTCACACACAGTGACATATCTTGAATGCAAAGGGATAATGCATTTGCCAAATATATAAATGTAAATCATCACCATTATATAATAATAGGATGTGGACCTTGTTTAAGCGCCATGTTTAATATTTTGACAGAAATGGATGGATAAAATTCATAAAAGTCTTGTTTAGTATTCGTTGTCACTGCTATTGCCTATGTTTGATCCACTAATTAGTTGTCATGATTTCAGATTATTATTCCTCACCGTTGATTATCATTCATCCTTTTTAAGAGTAGGTTTACAACGTCAAACTATTTTGATGCAAATTTTGAAAACAATAAGAAATCTTGAATGGAAACAGTTTACTTCTCAGGAAATTATAGCGATGACTTTAATATTAATGAGATATTGAACACTTAAAAACGTGTGTGTGTGTGTGTGAGAGTACCTGTGAGTGTGTCACAGCTGAGTGAGGAAGAGTCAGGTACGGATAGATGAAGACTCCGCTCTGAATTGACTGACAGCTGAATCCCGGAAGACCATTAATGAACTCCACAGCCCTGGAAACGTTACACTTCAGAGTCTTTAGCCTAGACGCCACCTCCTAAACACACACACACATTTAAAACATACATATTTATTGTACACATTAAAGGAGTATTTCACTTTTGAAAAAAACTTTTGCTGATAATTTACTCACCCCCATGTCATCCAAGATGTCCATGTCTTTCTTTCTTCAGTCGAAAAGAAATTAAGGATTTTGATGAAAACATTCCAGGATTTTCTCCATATAATGGACTTCAATGGGGTCCAAACGATTCAAGGTCCAAATGAGAGTTTTAGTGCAAACTGTTCAAAGGGCTTTAAACGATACCAGACGATGAATAAGGGTCTTATCAAGCGAAACGATCGCTCATTTAATAAATAAATAAAAAAATTACGTTTTATAAGCTCAAATGCTCGCCTTGCTCTGTTCTGTGATGCGCGTTCGTGACTCTCCTGTTCGAACTCGTTCATCAAAATGAACAAATCTTTTTCCGAGTCATTCAATGAACGAAACAAACGAATAGACTTCGTTCATTTTAAAGCCCTTTGAACAGTTTGCAGTTTGGACTGAAACTGTCTTTTGGACCATGAACTGTTTGGTCCCCATTGAAGTCCATTATATGGAGAAAATCCATATAAAATCCTTAATTTCTTTTCGACTGACGAAAGAAAGACATGGACATCTTGGATGACATGGGGGTGAGTAAATTATCAGCAAAAGTTTTTTTTAAAAGTGAACTACTCCTTTAAGTAATGTTTTATCAACCCTTTACACTTGTTTGGGGATACACAGTGAATCCTAATCTTTAGATGTATTATTAATAATAATCATTTTAAATATTCAATAATCATATTATTAAACCATATAAATGATAAATATAAATGTTTTTGCAAGTACCTGTGTGTATAAAGCGTAGGAAGGATCTCCAGGACGGGGCGGATCAGCCATGACATCGAGAGCAATCTGACCAATCACAGGAGGGCACAAATCTCCCGTCAGAAGCGTATCAGCGTATAACATCACAGCTCGATCGACGTTCACCAGCTCCATATAACCCGTCTTGAAACCACACCTGCATCAAACACATTCAATTAGCAGCCGTTTACTGTTACACAGACCAACATAATACTCAACATTATGCATCAGATCCTCATATTAGAGTGATTTGTGAAGGATCATGTGACACTGAAGACTGGGTAATGATGCTGAAAATTCACAGGAATAAATTACACTTTACTATATATTCACATACAAAACAGCTGATTTACAGTAGAATAATATTTCACAATTTTTTCACAATATTTTTGAGCACATAAATGCACTTCCAATCTTCCCGAGCCCAAACTTTTGAATGTTTGTGTATTTTTAAAATATATTTAAATATATAAAATAAAATATAAATAAAAAAAAAAATATATAATATTAAATAAATTTTAAAAAAAATATATTTAAACTGAATCAAAAACTGTTTAAATAAGAGACGAGATACTAAGATCAATTTAAATTGGTTTATTAGCTCTGACATCATAAAACTCACTCTCCCATGATGCCGTTGGAGAGCGAGTGAAGCGAGGCCAGTTGAACGCTCTCAGAATAAGGGTCTCCCATCTCAGCCAGAACGCGTTTATAGGACACGAACTCAGAGCCGTCCGCAAAAACTGTGTTCTGATAAACCTGCAACCCATAACGAGATCATAAAAGTGACCAAAACAGATGATGAAGATTACACCCTAAACACTTCCCTCGTTGACCAGCAAGAAAAGGCCTTCGTCGGCAGCGAAGCGAATCACATCCTCGATGGACTCTCTGCACTGGACATGCCCTGTACAACACAATTAATATCACAGTTTATCAATTCACTTACAAAAACTACAATGGTATTATGGTTCTTTGTGGTATTTTTCATTCATTTTTCATACTTACCCTTACAAAAAATGTGTGCTATTAGTATACTTTTTATATACTTCTCAGAAATATTATTAATGTCCCCCTGTAGTCAACAATTTTATCCCTTAAAACTCATCAAAATGAAATATTTAGCCATTTTTTCCTTGAAAAAAGATCTTCAAGCCCTTAAAATAGCTTGACTGTAATTCGACACCCTTGCCTCATTTTTTATTCGTGGATCTGTGAATATGCAAATGAGCCTCCACTCACTCAGCTCAGAGATCCACTGGTTGACGATCACACGTTGATCTGATTGGTTACAAGTTTGTTTGTAACCGGCGCATTACAATTAGACCCCGACCGATAAAGGATTTTGAAGGCCGATACCGATACAAATATTTTTGGGTTTTAAAATCTGATATATCAGCCAATATTTTATTTATTTGAAACTGGACATGATAGGAACAAATTTTGTCATGCTTATTTGAGTTCTTTTAATTGTTATTCAAGCAATGTATGTCTCGTTGCCACCAGGGACGGTGTAGAGTGCCCTCTGGTGGACAAACTATACAACTCCAACACTCATGACATTAGTATGAGTATTAGTCCGTTTTTATTTTATTTTTGAAATATTCATTTATCGGCCATTATTACTGCCGATACCGATAGTTTGGAAAATGTCTAATATCGGTCTGGCTCTAATTACAATCATCGCAATATACACAGTTTTAAACCACCAGCAAAATCATCATGAATATACTGTCCCGTACCTGTCGGGTTGCCAGGGTTACTGATATAAATTGCCCGCGGAGAGCTCCGCCCCCTCGACGCCTTGATTACTCTGTTAAGCTCCGCCCTCTCCAAACTCCACCCACACTGTTCTTGAAGCCGATAGGGCACCGGAACCACGCCCATCCACTCCAGGAGGCGTGTCAGAGAGTGAGGGGCGGGGTCAGGGATCATAACCGAAGACACGCCCTCTGATTGACACAGCAGTCGCATCATCACCTGCGTACATCAATCGCCCAACTGAAGCACTTACAACCAGTGTTGGGGAAAGTTACTTTTAAAAGTAATGCATTATTCCGTAACTCCGCCAAAAAAGTTACTAATTGCGTTACTTTTTTTTTAATGAAAAGTAATGCGTTACGTTACTTTTGTGTTTCTTGTTCTCACCTGGGCTGGGTTTGCTTGTTTTGTTTTTTAATAACAACATAAAAAGTTCTATTTTCACCCCAAATTTGAATAATCCTCAGGCTGTCGGAAATGCATGTTTACTCCTGTACAGTAGAGGGCGCCGATCACACAAACCTCTCATTTCTAAATCTAATCTAAAGTCATTTTTGCTTATTAGTATGGCTGAGTTAGATCATTGAAGGTTGGCAGCAAATACATTGTTTAATAAAGTGAGATTAAATACATAAAGTATATTTGTTGTGTAATTTAAAAGTTTTGCGTAAAAATTCTGAGATTGCATTTTACCGTTTTTATTCATTTTGAGGAATACTGAGTGATTTTGTGCAAGTGAGATGAGCTTGTTCACATTTAATCTAGAACTACAATCATGTTAACACACACACACACACACACTTTTATCTCTCTATGAGGACAGGAGAGCTGTCAATCAATAAATGTGCAAAAAGTAACTAGTGTTACTTATTTGAAAAAGTTACTTGCTGTAGATTTAAAAAGAAATGCGATAGTTTCCTAGTTACTTGAAAAAGTAATCTGATTACATTACTCAAGTTACTTGTAATGAGTTAACGGCAACAAACGAATGGTTTCGGATCACACCATAAAACCTCTCTGGGCTTCAACAGTGATGAAGACGTGCTCTGGAGTGGATGGGATTCCTCCGTCCCGCAGCGAAATGAACTTCGCTATAGTGTTTCTCACATACATCGATCCACAGGACCCAGTGTATGAACCTAAAGAGGGAAGAAACCAGACAGCCAATCAGATCGTCAGCATCACAGGTCACATGACAGTGAATCGGTATATGGTGTACATGAATTCGGATATGGATGACTATTTCTGGCGTCTTTACTGTACATGTGTTTATGAACTGATATCATTTTGTAATGTTATTTTAAGTACACTATGCTTGTAACAGTACAAATGTGCAACGTTAAATAATAAACATCTAATGATTTAACTTCTGTTAAGGAAAATAGTGAACATCGATGCTCGCTGGTTTTCACAATGCATTGTGGGACTTTTTTTAGGGAGCGAAGGTTTTCAGTGCACTAGGCAGATTTTGCACTTAAAATGGGCGACTCCCTGCTCAGTGCCCTAACTAGTGAACTAGATTGAATATACAGGTGAAACAAAAGCCATAATCATCATAATTATAACAAATCTCACTTTGCATGTAATGAGTCTATATAATATATTAGTGTAATCTTTTAAGTTGAATTACTGAAATAAATAAATTTTCACCTGAGATTCACCTGAATATGTCTTTAAAAGTTTGAGGTCAGAAATTAATACTTTTATTCAGCAAGGATGCATTAAAATGATGAAAAGTGACAGTAAAGACATTTATAATGTTACAAAATATTGATTTTTCAGATAAATGCTGTTCTTTAGACGTTTATATTTATCAAATAATCCTGAAAAATTACATTTATCTCAGTTTCCACAAAATTATGACAGTTTTCAACATTGATAATGTGTCTTGATCATCAGATCCTCATATTAGAGTGATTTCTGGAGGATCATGTGACACTGAAGACTGGAGTAATGATGCTGAAAATTCACAGGAATAATAGACACTTTACTAAAATAATATTTAACCATGTTTACTGTATTTGTGATCAAATGAACAGCTTTGGTGAGCAGAAGAGACTTATTTCTGAAACATTATAAAAATCTTGTCGACCCCAAACTTGGGTGTGCGTCACAATTTCCCACACAGACGATCTCACCGATACTGCCTCCATCAAAGTGCTGGAGTAACGTCTGAGCTCTGAGACGAGCGTCAGGAGGAAGAGCGTCGCTCTGCAAGACACTCGGATACAAACATCCAGCGATGACCTGAAACAAGTCCACATGAAACGCCATTCACCACGTCATTGACCTGAGTTAAAAGTCCCCCTGTGTGGTCATGTGATCATCTTTGATCACCAAATTGACATTTAAACCTTTTTCTTAAAATATCTTGAATGTAACTCGACACCTCATTTAGTATGTGCGGTTCTATGAATATGCAAATGAGCCCCGCCTCCACTCACTCACTGGTTGACGATCACATCACACGTTGATCTGATTGGTTACAAGGTGGTTTGTGACGTCAGAAACACCAGCGATTTGTGTTTTTGAGACTGTCTTTGGTTCACTGCAGTTTTAAGGAGGAAATACACATGGATTGTATTAACGCACATTAAAAACACCACATACACAGCTTGATTTTCACCACAGGGGGACTTTAAAAAGTAAAGGTTGTTCCATATTAATAAATGATTATGTGAAACATTTTGTCCTGCAGATTATAACGGGACCTTCTGCTCTACAAAACCAAAGATCAGGACAAATTTGGCTCATTTGCAACTCAGCCAATACATCACTTATTTAAGCAACGATTAACAGAACGTCAGACCTGTCTAACAAAGGTTATAGGCTTCATTCCAGCGGCGTGAGTCTCCCGAACTCAAATCCAGAAGCTTCTTAAAGGATGCACTCATATTCACTTCCTGTGAAAGAAATTATCATACTTGTGATATGCTTTCTCTTCATAATCATTTTAGCTCGACACTCTTGCTGGATCATAACCAGTGATAATATTCGCATCTGTTTTTTACTTCCTCAATTTTATTAATTAAAATGAATAAATAAATCATAATAATTATTATTATAAAATATAGTATTATATATATATTAATACTTTATAATAATATTTTAATTTTCATATTTATTCATTTAATTTTAGGAAAAACGTCTGAGACAATTAAAATTAATATATATATAAAATATTATAAAAATTAGCATTATATATAATTTTAATATTAATATATTTTGATATATTATAATAGCCTAATATTTTAATATTATGATTATTAATTAAATTTTAGGAGAAACATCTAAGACAAAGTTGATCCAGAATTCAAGTATTAAATAACATTATCTGTGCACATATCAGCCATATAACTACATTTTTAATTTTACACTTTACAATATTGTAAATTTATGCGGTATATCAGATATAAAACAATTTCCACAAAAAAAGGTAATTCATACCTTTTCTTTCCAAAAACATATATTTTCATATATTTTGCAATACAATTTCGAGTTGTTAATGCATTAACTAAAATTAACTAACAAAGAGCAATGCATCTGTTATTAATATGAATATGCAAATGTGCTTTATAAATATAATGTGCTTTATAAATAAACATGACTTGACTAATATCCGCTCATGTTAGTTAATAAAAACACATACAACAATACATTGTAAGTTCATACAATTAAAAACTACATGTTTTGATTTTAATAACGTATTAGTAAATTTAGGAATTAACAATAAGATGTATTTTATTCTTTATGTCTTTCAATTCCGTTCGTTCATTTCATTAAGCAAGAAACACGTTTCTTTAAGATAAATACCTAAAGAAATATTATTTATCATTAAGACAAACCATTTTATGCAATATGAAAGAACGTGTTCATGTTGTTGTTAACAAATTTAACCTGACTTTAGAGTGTTACCAATTTTACAGCACCTCTTTACATTCGTTTTCAGTAAAATCATGATAAGATTTAGATTTTATATGTGTCATGTGTTTCACCTGTTCAATGAGGCGAGCCTCTTCCTCGTCTGATGGGGGTCTGGTAGTCTTCTTCAGATCTTCTGTCAAAAACACCTCAGTTTGAGTCACTCTTAATATATGACTGCACTAACTTACATCAACGGAGGTAACGTTAGTTTAATGTTTGACATACTCGAGTCTAAACTCTCTGAATACAGTATTGTACACAATTAAATTTCAGAAAATGATTAAAAAACATATGAAATGTTAATTCCAGAAACAAACCTTGTGTTATATTACACAACTGTACGATAACGGCACAGACAAAGGATATCAGTTTCAAACCGATTTTCTCCAACTGGTGAACGATAAAAACATTGACAGCCAATCAGAATCCATCATCCTGCTTTCAGAGCTCGCGCATTTAAAGCGACAGAGGCATATTTGTGTGGGCACGGGTTAGTGAGCAGTAACCAGCATTTTAAAAAGGTTTAGCTTAAAATACTTCATAAAATCTACCCATGTAAAGCTTTGTTATCCAAATTCATGGACAAATGTTCTTTTTGTAATGTTTACGAAGAAGACTTGGCTCAATTGTTTTATGAATGTGATTTATCTCAAAAATGTTGGTCTGATGTTAGTCATTTTCTTTTTGCCCTATGCAAGAAAAATTAATTATAAATTATCTCTAAAAGATGTTATTTGTTCTTATACACACAGAAGCAAATTGTGTGAATATGTGGTGAATTTCTTCATTTTGCATGGTAAATATTATATCCACAAGCAAAAATTTGCAAAATGCATTCCAAAATGTAATCTATTTTTATTAGAGATTGAATCGCTGAGGAAGTCACTTAAATTAGTTAAAAATAAAAAGAATGAAATGTTCTTAAACTTTATGGAGGAATTCTTCGTATTGTAATTAATGCGTCTATATGAACACTAAAAGTGTCTATAGGAAAAGAAAGAAATATTGAGCTTTTTTTATGTATGTATATTAAGGTTTTTATTTGTTTTTTTTCTTCCTCTCCTTTGTTTTTGTTATCTCTGTTTATTTGTTTAAACATGTTTCAATATATGTGATATCTGTCATATGAAGCATTCCTGTTATATACTGTATTTTGTACTTGGATTTATTTCTCAATTAAAAAAAAAAAAAAAAAAAAAAAGGTTTAGCTTTGATTGGTGGTTAAACATTTGCAAAGAAGTTCAAAGAGGTTCACACAATGAATTAAAATATATCACAAAAATATCTTTATTAGTTAAAAAAAGATCAATACACAATCATACACCCTTAAAAACAAAGCTTCCAGGATTTTTTTTTTGCAGCAATGACGTGAAATAATTAGGGGCCAAGCACCGAAGGTGCGGAGGCACCTATTGTATCTGTGCCGGTTCTTATTATTATTATTATTATTATTATTATTATTATTCTTCTTCCGACTGGGCGTCTATGGCAGCCCATAGACCGGTTTGCGGGAAAGTTGTTTTGGTTTGACATTCTGATAGAGGACAGTCCCAACTTTAAATACACCAATTTTGGTGTCTCTAACTCATTCCCTCTAGCGCCACCAACTGTCCAAAGTTTCACTTTTATTATGCTAATAACTTTTGAACCGTAAGGCCTATCAACAAAATTCTTTTTTCCTCTTGTTCCTGAGCTCATGCCGATTCGATCGCACCCTATGACGTCATTTTCCGTCATAAACAAACGCCGCCATTTTGAATTTTCCAAAAAACCTACTTTTGCGAACTCGTCCTAGACGGTTTGTCCGATTTTCACCAAAATCGCACCGGATCATCTCCAGGCAGTGCTGACAAAAAGTTATGGAATTCAAGATGATTCGAATAACCGTTTTCGATAAACGCGTAAACAAAATTTACGTAGCGCTTGCGAAAAAAAACGTGAGGTTGTATCTCCGCAACGCTTACTCGTTTTCACACCAAACTTGGTACGTGTTATCACAAGCATGACCTGAGGCTACGTGCTGCGTTTCGGCGCAGCGCCACCTAGTGGTCCGGAGATATGAAAAATGGCTATTTTTGCTCGTAACTTCTGAACGGTTTCTCCAAAAATCAAAAACTTGGTCTCGTTAGATTCAGGGCGTCATGCCGAGTCGACCGATATCCAATTTTCCCAGATCGGCCATTTTGGCTGTCGGCCATTTTGAATTATGTGCTAAAATGCTGTATTTTTTGAACGCATGAACGAATTGTTACGAAACTCGTTATGGGTCATCAGTACGATGCCCTGAAGGAGCCTGAGAAGTTTCGAAACAGCGCCACCTAGTGGTGAATTGTTTTATTCAAACGCTTATAACTTTGGGTGTGGTACACTTATTTTCACGGGAGTCATATTTTTGAGGTCCTGAATCGTTGCCGAGTCCAACGATACCAAATATGTCGGGTTTCGTCTCACGGATGGCGTAGCGTAGCGATTTAGCGCGAAAAAAACACCTTGCCGATATCTTCAAAAACGCTGTTCCGATCGAGACGAAACCACCGCCAGAAACACGGAATCATAGCTTGTTAACTATACACTAATGCCCAAATGCGTAAATATTGATAGTAAGGGGTAGTAAAATTCAAACAAAGTCATGTGTCAGTCATTTTTTACGTGTTTTTTCATATAAATGTTTATAACTCGGAAGTAAATTGAGATATTTGCACCAAAATTGACACACATATGTATGGGGTCACTCTAAGGACACATAAAAAAATTGTGGGACTGAGCCTCTTGGTGGCGCTATAATTAGAACAAACGTGAAATTCCCATTGACTT